GCTAGTTTCCTTTGTAGGTTCGTTCATACTTCATTAGCGTCCGCCATCGACCACCAGCGTTCAGCAGCGACTACCAGCTTTTTGAGCGTTCGCCAGCATCAGCGACTCGGAACGTATAGATATCGATCTAGCGAACGCCAGCATCTACCAGCGTCCACCGGCGTCCACTATTAGAGTGTATGGGGAAATGGGAGGGTAGAAGACAGCCGGATTAGGTGTTGGGATTGCCTCGTGTGCAAACGCCCCGTACAACTGCTAAAGCACAGAATTATGCAATCTTGATGTACGGTGTAGTGCAGTTGTACGGTGCGGTTGCACACGCCGCAATTTCACGACGCCTAATCCAGCTGTCTGCTACCCTCCTACTTCCCCATACTCTCTACTCCTGGACGGCGTGGACGCTGGCAAACGCTGGTGGACGCTGGCGTTCGCTAATCGATATCTATACTTTCCTAGTCGCTGGCGCTGGCGGACGCTCGAAACGCTGGTGGTCGCTGGTGGACGCTGCCGCAAAGTATGAACGCAGCCATAGGGTTTTCGAGGTATTTTGGATTTATGACTAGCATATGGTTTTGGTTGACCAGCTTAATGACCGGCACAGAACTGCTGCGAGGAGCTAGACAAATCGGGAAATTTTGACTTACTAGCGGCACGACCTTACTGTAACTTTCTCCCTTCTCAAATCAGGTCCCGTCAGTCAACCCTACGCTGCCTCACACCATGTGTTCTGCGACATTGCACATAGTATAATCTAGTAGAGGTGCTTTTCAGGACTAACCCTGAACAAAAGCTGAAAATTGTACAGGAAGTGCAACGACGGGGTGAAACGGTGGCCGTCACAGGTGGAGGCGTCAACGATGCACCGGCTCTTGCACACGCAAATATCGGCATTGCCATGGGTTTGTGCGGTGAGTTCCTTGAGTCTGTTAGGAGTTGGACATACATTGGTTTTCAATCCTTCTCTACTCAATTTTCAAGGCAGCGATATTGCTCGTCAAACAGCCGACATTGTTCTGTTGGATGACAATTTTGCGTCGATTGTGATGGG